ATTCGATTCGATTCGAATTCGATTTGAACTGATTCGAATCAAAAATTAAGTGATTCGATTCGATTCGAATTCGAATCAGTTCGAATCGGTTCGAATCTCATTGATTCGTTCGGAGCCTTAGGGCTGGTGAGTAGGCATAGCATTATTAAACGTTTCATTTCTGTATAGCCTTGGTATTATCACTACTTGTGTGATACAATTGTTTGTTATATCAATGATGATATCAAATGTATTGAATATTCAATGTGATTAATGGAGGAGAAAGGCATTCACATACAAGGAAATGATTAAATAGCTGTCATTTTGTTTTATTAAAGACATGATTAATTATATTTAAAATATACAATAAAAAATTGCATGGAATCCAAAACTACATGACTATGTCAATCAAGCTATCAAGCTGTTATGTTTGTGCATGATTTAAAATTCTTTTGTGTTAATTTAGGGACCTATCTTTCTTTTGTATAAATCTTTTTACTATAAGCTTTCATAATATCTGATTTACTTTTTTTTTATAATTAATTTCTCTCTATAACAAACATCTTAGTAAACACTCTCTATAATGAACAAATGCAGAAAAATTACATATAAGGATGGAAGGTTTGTTATAGAGAGTGAACTGTAAATTATTTACAATTAATATTTTAATTAAATTATACAAATAATAATAATAAATACAAATAAGAATTGAAAGTATGAACATATACAAATATGATCTATATTAATTATTCACAATTAATTTTAATTAATTATACATGAAGTTATCCCAGGATCTATCTGTATAATTTCAAGGTTTTGACTAAGAATCCAAGACTTTATCAAATTTTGCTTGCAGTGAATCAATAGTGGTAGATTCTGTTAAAATAGTATTGGGATGACTGAAAGAACTACTATCCTCATTTTTTTGTTGCTTGTCATTTTTCTCTTTATCAACTATATTTGAGCTTGAAAACATTCCATTAAGCCTTGTTTCAACATATTGAATGTCAGGTCTGCTTTCTGGGTCATCCTGCCAACATGCTACATACAAGCAAATTATTAACAAAATTTATGCATATAAATATATAGT